GTAGGGAAACACTTAAGGCGGTGCTGTGCCCAACAGTTTAGTTAGCATATAGGTGACCATGAAGTATATCCTATATATAAAAAGCACTTCTCATTACCCATGTAGTTATTCCGCAATAAGAAGTCAGTGATCCAAAATGTCACATAAGCTATGGAAATGAACTTTGTACTATTGCACTAGGGAGCATAATGTCAGGCTAAGCAGGGACTCCTAAATCTACTCATCTGTAGATAGAGTGCCTGGGACTAAAGATGTAGCAGCTGGGGAGGTTCACAGGCAGTGCACTGCTGTGCTCAGATTGAATGTCTTGGTGTAATCCTTGATACTCACATGCAGAGGATCCACTGGACATTCAATTACCAAGGATTTTTGTAGAATTTCATCACTTTGCCTTATTTGCATACATTTGGAAAGACTAACAAAGCTCTTCATTCCAATCTCTTGGAAAAAACAACCCTGAGGTTTGCATTTTTGTTGCTGTTTGCAGAGCTTTTCATCCCTTTATTACCTTTGTTCTCCTTTTTCAGAAGTTTCTTCTTAACTGTTTTACATAGAAAGGAAAAAGAAAAGTAAAGAAAGGTTAAAGGTTGGTAAATTGACTAAATTCTGAACAGATTACTGCCTAGACTCTTCCAGCAAAATTCTTTGAAAATTAACAAAAATCTTTCAGGGATTGTTTCAAACAACAATGCATGCAAAATGTTAATCTGAAGTTCTTTTCATTGTGATCTCCTACAAATATATGCACGTACAGAGTAACTTCTTACCTTCTTTTTCCTTATCTGTTTTTGTTTTTTTCAGAGCTAGAAAGATATACAAGGAAACAACATTAAATGACAAGTATAAGATATACAGGATTCCTACAATAAGCACATGCTGCTCTCCCTTTTAATTTCCCTGGAATTAAAACTGGGGTAAAGCTGTCTCATGACATATACGCCATGGATCTAGAATTAAATAGCGGCTGGCTATCAGTGGCAGTAGCAGCTCTGGGATCTCTGAATAGTCTTTGGAAATGGTCAGAATATCAATGATTGTAGAACAGTTGGGAAACTCCTGATAGAGACTTCAGGTATAAAACTACTGCCATAATCCCTTAACTAATGGTTGCCAGAAGGTAGAAACTGCATCAGCAGAAGGATCATGCTGCCTTTTGCCTGCTTCTTACTCTTTCCATGAGCAGTCTCTGCTGTCTAAAACAAAACAAAACAAAGCAACACAACACAACACAATACAACACAACATAAAACAACTTTAAACACCCAAGAACCCCTTAGGATATGGAGCCAGATGGGCCTTTAGATCTGCTAAGTATAGTCACTCCTCTTATGACCTGCAGCAGTAGATTCTAATTTATTAATTTTATTTTTTAATTGTATATTAATTTAGAGCGTGTACGTTTTCCTTTTTGGCTTCTTTTTCCCCACCCCCACTTCCAAAAACACAGACAGTTGGTCTGTGACTCCATTCAGCCAGGCAGACTGAAATTAAATAAGGTGGATTGCTTCAGGCGTCTGAGCCCATTTCAGCGTTCCCTGTTGAGTACAGCAGAAATCTGGCAGGCTGCCTCAGAATTGTTCATTTTTGCTCAATATGATCCAACCAGTTGTAATAATGATTCGTTCAATGTCTTCTGGTGCATGTGTTATGTGACTAACACTCGCTTGCTCAGTGCTAATCACCTGTGTTTAGCTTACCTCAAAACATGCTACAGACAATGAACAATGAAAATAAAATAACCAGCTGATCAGTGTAGTCTCCGACTAGTAGAGAACTGTGTAGCTGCAGTGCTGTCAACTGAGCAATGCTGGTTTACACCGCTAGTGGTTTAGCACATCACACAGTTCATCTAGCTTAGTATGTTCATTAATTCTTTCTGTAAGACACGTCAGAGAAATGCAATATTTACCTGTTGTTGGGATTTCAGCTGCTGGCTCTTCAGAAAAATAATCAGAAATGAAGAGAGAGGGGGAAGGAAAGGAATACGAGGCTTAGTACCATGCTTTTTCTAGGAAAGTAACAGTTTAATAGATCTCTTTCGCATGTAACTTTTCTGCAGAATGCTAATTTGCAAGTAAATATGCCTTTACAATGGACACGTACACAGAATTTCATAGTGGGAGCGAAGAGTCCCACTCTTTGAAGTACTATAATCCATCCAACATGCGGTGGTTCCTGCAAATGCAGCCACTGTGCCAATCAAAGCTTTCAAACATGTGAGCATGTAAATAGAGATCTTTTCAGACAACTGTTCAAGGTTATAGCTGTCTATTCTCTTTTCCCAAAAGCGTATTCAAATTTAATTTTTTATCTCTATTTTCTCATTATCCATATATCCCCTTTAAAGGCTCTGACACTAAACCTGAACAGCTGCCATTCACCTCTGCCTAACTTTCTGCTGCGTTGTCAGTCTGCCTAGCCTTTTGAGAGTAAAAGTTCTTAAGAGCTGGAAAAAATTCCTGATTAAATGTTTGTACAGCACCCAGCACAAAAGAAGCATATCTTCTTGTGAGAGTATTATAACCACACTAACTAATTGCAATAGATCAACATTATGGGATAGAAATTCTCTGGTACAAATCATCATTATTCTATTGAAATTAAACAAATGAATTAAAACTTGATTTGAGAGCCAAAATTTTTTTACTCCTCACTATTTTATTAGTCTCCATTTTGTTCAGCCTATTGTAAGGAAAGAGGAAAACCTCACTAACCAGACAAAACCTTTATTTCTTGAACCTAGAGAATTATAAAAAGAGAGATAGTCTAGAGACGGATAAAAAATGAACATGTTTACAAAACGTTTCAGGGTTTCCTCTGACTGAATTATTTTTCTATTTATTTCATGCCAAGTTTAGGTTTCAGATGAGTATGAGGTCCTACAGTTACTGGGAGCTTTCACCAAGGTGAACATCTTTCAGGCAGTGTTTTTTCACCAGGATACCTGAAACTGCAGTTAAACATAGGTTTTGCTAACACATTCCAGAAAACTTGCATTCAGGATTTGGTTCATAAGGAGCTCATAAATATCAGTGCTCAATGCTTAGGCACCCTGTATGTTCAGTGAAGTACAGCTTTGCTGCTATTTAATACTAACATGATTAATTCCTTTAATATTTACATTTCTGCTCATGATCATGCTCATAGTTACTGAAAACTGATACGTTACAAGATCCTGACCCATGGATTATTACCTCTTCTCACTTTTTGCAAGAAAATAAAAAGATTTGTATGAGGCACCAAATCTAAGAGAAGGGTTTGTGCTCTGACGTTTTAGTTGAGGGATTACCTAAATCTGAGGAGCTTAAACTGGCCCGTTTTTCTCTGCCTTTTCTAATGCTTACTGTTTGGCTTCTATAGATCCTATCTTAAGGACCTTTCACTGTATTTACGTGGCCTAGGCATGCATATACCCTCACCTGGGACAAACGGTTCCCTTAGACAGCAAGATATTGAAAGACTGTTTAACTGAAAGGTAGTTAGTTTGACCCTCTGGCATACCCAGCATAAGGGACATTTTCTTCTCCTACAGCCTCAACAAGCTCTCACTTTCTCTCAGGGCACCAGGAAACACTTTATTGCTATTATGGGACTTTTGCTATAGAACTACATGGGAATAGAGTTTGGTCACTGTTGAGTTTTTTTTAAATACCAGCCCACATATTCCTCATGCTGATGGCAAAACACTGCATACAGTTCAGTATTACTTCTTATATGAGCAAGAAATGCCATCAGTTTTGTCCTCTGTTCAAGGTAACCTCTCATAATTTGAGAGACTTTAATCAGTATGCAGGGAGTAGGTTCTGAGTTTCATTAAAGCTTCAAATCTGATATAGGATCAATTGCTGTGAAAGAACCTCATGCTTGCTAAAAAAGAAATAATGGAAATAGGGTAGTTTACTAGTTGATTTTATGATTGTCTGCTGATTCACCTAGCAGGTTGCCATAAAAATGTATTTGTTGATAATTTGGGGACTTTTCAAACTCAGTTTTGTATTTCTATTTACAGACTGTCATTCACTTAATAATCCAATCTCTCTATTGATTTATATCCAATTTACCTTTACAATAAGGCAGCACAGGGTATAATGTACGAATAAATTTGGCCCAGGATGAAGGCACGAATTTATTTTACATTTCTGCTAGACTTGAACTTTAAGGCCAATGAGTATTTTGTGTCCATGGCTACTGCTTTTGCTGATTTACATGATAGCTATCTACACGTTCTGCCAACAAAACTGCGCACCCAGTTGAGAAATATATGGAGAAAAGCTATATAGAGCTCTAGAAATAAAGATGACAGTGGTTCAACTAAGCGTTCTTTGAGTAGCAAAAAAAGATAGCTCTTATGTGTAAAACCTTGAAATGGATCTATTCAAGGATGTTTAGCTCAGAATAGGCAGTATAAACAGAAGTACTTTTGTATATGATTGTAATTCTATTCAATACTATTTTTCACTTCCCCCTCCACCCTTTTTTTCCTAAAGACAGTGTTAACCTTTATTACCATTTCAAGCAGCAAGATATAGGTTCAAGAATGTGGTACAAATATCCCTCTGCAAAGGTCAAGGGAAAATATCTTCACTATCTTCATTTTTATATTCACTATATGTCAGGGTAATATAGTCCTTCATATAAAAGCACTGTAGACAGTGATTTTTGGTTAAAATGATCGTTATTGTGGAAAGCCTCTTAAGCTTCACTTAAGCCTCTGATAGTTCCGTGTTATAGGGAGTGTATTGGTGGGTCGTTCAGATAAACAGCTCGGCAAAGAAGACATAAAATATTTTCTCTGTAAATGTAAATGGATCCAGTGATTATAAGATTGAATAAATTTGAATAGTGGAATCAAACACAGAAAAATTTACAGAAGATACTGACAAAAATGGAAATAAAACCACCTACTTCCACAGCAAATAATGATTTTGCAGTGGCGACTTGAAAACTGAACACTGCAATTCAGGACTGCAGAAGACACTTCAGGCCTCATTTTCCCCCTTTCCTCTTGGAGCCACGATTCAGGACAGCATGGTGTCTTCTGTCATGTGTTAAAGGGTGGGTATCCATCCTGTCTAACTTTAAGCACCTAACACTAAAGACTACGTTAGGAAACTTAAAGGAACCAGCTTCCCCTGCCACCAGCTGTCTTCCAATGCTGGTTTCTATGTGTGTGCCGGGTGGAAATAACTCAAAACAGAAGACTAACTAGAAAAGACAGTCCTCTTAAATCAGGCATCAATGGCATAACGTGAAGCTGATGTGAATACTCATGCTCTTTGCGGCTAAGCAGCTGTGGAGTATCATTGGCGTCACTGCTTACTGAGTAGGATGCGTTGCCGCTAAGGGGGAAAGAGAGAAGTGAGTCGTGAGGTCATCAGGCTACGATGCCTGGGAGGTGCTGTGGCATCCAAAGGACATAATGGCTCAGTGCCCATTAAGAACCAAAACATTAAAGTATGACTCCTCATGGCAACATGTTTTTTTTTCCAGTTTCACAAACTGACAAGTTGGTTATAAATTGTTTATAATGATGCCTTTTCCATCAGGAAAAAGTGATCTCCTCCTCCCAAAATGCTGTTGAAATCTAATTTTCTGGACTTGGTAACAAGAGTGGGAATTTTTCAGTGGAGCCTTGGGCAGAGGTACCGTTGCCACTTTCTGACTTGGAGTGGGAAGAAATCTGTCTCATGTGCCTTGGTCCTGGTTTTGGGTACTTTTTACCCATGGATTACTTTGCATCAGAATAACACATGAAGATTTCATCTTGCTGTGCCAGGCATTGTACAAATATTTAATCAAAAGAAAGATGCTGTCTCATATAGATTGCAGCTAGTCCATCTGAAAAGGTCCACATTTCAATGTTTTCACAGTTCAATGCATGCAGTATTAACACTGTCCTTAATGGAACCTATTACTGTTGTGTAGTCATAGTATGAAGTATGTAATTTCTTATCACAATAAACATGGATCCCAGTCTTTCTTTACCCTTTCAAAAGTCTTATTATCCAATAAGACAAGAACATTATCCAATGGACTTCAGTGGAAATCTTTCTTGTGCAAGAAATTCCCCTTGAATTCTGCTTATAACTCATATAAAATTGAGATATTCCATTTTCCTCTTTAATTTAATTTTCCATTTTATTACAGTAAAAGAAGTCATTTCGGAATAAGGTCAAGAACATGCTTAGTAGAGTCATGAAATAAGTAATTTTTGAACTGTAAAAGAAATTGTAAAAAGTTTTTCAAATCTAGTTTGTCACATGCCATTTCGTTATTTTTAATAAATGATTAATTCATATAATGATACATAGTGTCCAGACTCCTCTAAAATCACCCTAGCATCAGTAATGCAACTAGCACGATTTACTTTTATGACAAATAAAAATTGTAAATGAACTTTGACTGTTGCAGCTTCACATTATTAAATTACAAATGTGCTCAGTTTTGATGTGCTCAGTTGTTTCTAAGAAGTGAGCAAAGTTCTAAGACTGAACAAAGTGTAAGAATATCTGTTGCATAGGCAAGAGAACAGTGTTATCTAGCATGACAAAATTACAAAAAAGCAAACTGAGACAACATGCATCTGAAAAGCAAGGTTATATTCCAAAGGAAACATGACATGACACCTACTTGCAGCTGTTTTTGACTTCTCTAGAAAGTAAAAAGAAGACAGAAAAATGCTCAGAATAGTCAGATGAAGCACAGTATTTTTACAGTGAAGAATTGCTTATTTGTTCTTCTATGTATTCACTGCACATCTAAACATCATTTTACTAAGTTTATTGTAATTAATAACGATATAATGATGGATAATAATAAGAATGTTCAGATCTACACAAGAAATGTGCTATGCTAGGATTAAGGACGAATAATATTAACAATAAGAATTTAAATTCTCCGTATATTTTCTTCCACTGAGAAGGCTAGAGAAGACTATTTTTTTAAACCCATGGTGACTGCTACACAGTGCAACTGAACTGTGCTGCTTCCAATAGTTACAGTAAGTTACTCTGTCTCGTACCAGAGAGATTGTGTATGAATTTTAATATGCAGAAACATTTTTCATGAACTATGGATAGTATCAGGTAATGATTTGACTAGTATAGCATATATAAAATGCTCTGGAGGAAAAATGAACTATTCCTGGTCCTGACAAGTTGCAAGAAGATTATGAAGGTCCAAATAAACAGCAGATATCAAAAAATAATTAGCAAAATGAAGCCATTTCAGCAAACACCTTCAGACGATAGTTTGAATTCTTTGCTGGAATAACTTCTCTGATGCCAGCTGAATTACAGAAGCAGGATTTAACCTTTAATATTTATCTGCAGAAAATGACAAAAGGTATTGCAAATACATATTGCACTACATTAGCTATTGTATGACATGCCAAGGCCATTCTCTACTGTAACACAATTCACAGTGACATGCTCTTGTTCCTTTTGACATTGGTCATATGCAAGTGTATTTCACTGTTTCTTTAAATAAGAGTTTCAAAAGTAACAAGCGCATAAGATGCTGGATGCCTACCTGGTTTTGTTAATGGAACGCCTTTCTCATGTTTGACAGCTTCGTGCTCTAGACAAAAGAAATAGCATGATAACATTGCTATCATGTTTTTAAAGTATGTTTCATATACTTTTCTTTAACTAAGAAGGATTGTATGTATATTTTTCAGGCATAAACATTTATTTTCTATTGCTTCATGCTATTATTTTGGAAGAAAGCCAAAAGACTAATGACTAAAAGATTGCTCACAAAGGAATCTGTCACAAAATGGCAAAGTTCAGTAGTACTGTGCATTGCTCTCTCTATATAACTACTATTAATGTTACTAAGAGTTATGCATTTACCTTAAGGAAAAAACCAGTTAATAGGCACTCCCCTCAACTTCTAAAACATGATTTATATCCACTTTCCATCTTTGAAAGAAGAGTAAAGAGCAAATTCAGCAACCATTCACTCGACCTTTATGTTGTCGAGTCAGAGATACTTGAGCTGAATTCCAAAAGCCTTGAACACATCCTATTCCATATGAATAAATTATATATCACTGTGGAAAATTAGAGACCTAGTACTGTTTTACAGGCAGTGCACCTTTCTATTTCATAATTATTACTGGAAATAATGAGAATTTATGTTAGGTTGTTGGAAATGGAAAGAATAAAGAAGTTTCATTTTAAAAACAAGGGTCTAGCACTACATAATTTATAGCAAAATCACACCTGCTTAAAAGGAAATGAAAAATCTCCATAGATTTCATAGCATAGTAGCAGCTAGGCCAAATGCATGCAAATAGGACCACAGTATGTTTTAGCAATCAATGGACAGCTCTGCTGGCCCTGTTTCCAGGTCGTGCTGCCCACAGTTAAAAATCTGTGTACCTGTTTCTTTTTAAGTAACAAGAGTGCAAAAGTGGGCTATAAAGTGGAAAATGTTCAAAAAGTGAGCAAGCCTTGGAAAAAGGGTAGTGTGCCTCAGTGCATCTGCCACTTAAATTAATTCTTGAACCAGCAACTGTGATTCCAGAGGAAGACATATTCCAGGAAATGCTGAGATGAAGACATGATGGGGAATTTCAAATGGGAAAAAATTTTAGAAAGTGTGAATTAAAACTTATGTCTCTGAAGAGTAAATTTTTTCCATACCTGGGCTTTTCTTGAGGATGGGAGTATGTGATGTCACAACTGAATATATCTTTTTCATTTACAGTTTATCTTTGAGTGTTGAAGATATGACGGCTATACAAGCTAGCAAGCAGGCTGGATGGTAAGTCAATGATGTGGAAACTCTTTCTCCAATCCGTTCTAACAGAAAAATTCTAGACACTGTTATACTAACAAACATTGTGATTTAGAAGAAAATGTGGTAATCTCTCTTTCTTTTTCTATTTTTAATTCAGCAGAAGTATTCATTCAACCCAACCTACTGTTAAAAGTGATTTTTAAAAAAGCTTTTCACTCCTGTGCTAATGTTTTTTGTTGAAATTTGTGATATGTAAAGCACAGAATAAGTTGACTCCTGCACTAAAGCAACTAATTGTGGCAAACAGAATGGTTTGTTAAATAGCAACGACAAGACAGTATGTTAAGTAAAAATGATGGAAGGTATGGGGTAAAGACGCTATATTTTTAAGTGAAATTACAAGTTATTGAGGGAGACATGCCATATGTTAAAATTAGAAAAGCCACACATATCCCGTGATGTTACAGGAATTTTCTGATCAGGGTAGGTACCACGTACTTGCTGGCTTTGACTGGACTACAGAAGACAAAAGAAGGTAAATTGTAATATGAAGGTATAAAAAGAAAACAGATTCTAAACTTTTTATGATTCAAATATTTTTGTAGTAGTCAGCTCTCACTTTTTCTTGGCTTCTCTCATTCATGTAAAGACACACAACATTCAGGCCCCTAAAACGTAGATAGACCTTAACATGTTTAGAACTTTGCAAGTCCCCTTACCTACCTGCCTCCACTGAAGTAACGAAGTATCCTAACATTTAACACAGTAATGCAACAGTGAGAATGAGAAGAAATTCCAGCCAACAGATGATTGGAAGTTTTGGGTGTGATTTAATTGACTTGCAACATTGAGAACAGGCTGATCTAACTCTGAGCTTATTATGGACAACTCCTTTTAATCAAAGGAGAGTAGTAAACACCTCCAGAGGATAATTTATATTATTATAAAATTCTTGTTAAAGAAAGATGGGATGACTTACCCTCTATTTCAGGTTGCCTGTTTCAAGCTCAACAGGCACTGATATGAAAACTTACAGGTTACTTTTGTAGCAGCTTATGGTTGGCCAACCTGAAATACTGAATTTTCAATTTGATTCACAGAATCACAGAATCATAGAAGAACTGTTGAGGTTGGAAGGGACCTCTGGAGAGCATCTAGTCCAACCCTCCTGCTCAAGCAGGGTCCTCTAGAGCATATTTCCCAGGATCGTGTCCATGCGGGTTCCAATAAACATGAAAAAGACTGGTCAACCTATCCGAAGCACCAGAGTCTAATAAATCTTAGAAAAAATGGTCAAGTCATGAGATTTCTCGCAGTTTTGTTTCCAGCCACTGAAAATATGCATGATAACAATACTAGTGAAAGTTTGAGACTTCTGATTTTCTTCAAAAACTGAAAATTAAACTTACTTGAACTTAAAAAAAACTTGTGAATTTATTTGTGAAAAACCTGTATATTCAAATATTTCTTCCTTCCCAGGACTTTTTTGCCTGTTATTAGTTGCTAACTCATTAAACATTCTACTGAGAAATATATTGCTGTATTTTGCAGTAACTTCTCTAACTCTATTAACATAAGCATAATTTATATGGTTTTGAACAACCTCCAGCAGTTTACGTCTAGATAAAAAATATCAGATATACAGATAGCTTGCTCTGTAACACCACTTCACAGTAAAATAACAGATTATCATGCCGGTACTTCTAGAAAGTAGTATTAACCCATAAAGAATGTGAATGCTCACAATTTCATTTGAGTGATCATAGCTAGAGACAGCACAGTGCTATTCTGTACAGCATCTATTGCAGTACTCAAGAGAAGGAAAACCACATACCATATGAGAATAGAAATGAGGTGGCAAACAGCACAATTTAAGACAAAACAGCATTTTATTTTGTAAAAATTATCATTATCATCATGAAATCATATAATAACCTGCTGATCTGACATCGTTGTCCATGATCTTTCATTTTGTCTTTGGATCAAGGCTTCAACAGAAATCAAGAGGTTGATATCTAGAGAAAGCCTTCAAAACAGCTTTGTGCAAACAGTCAGTGATGATGAGAATGTTGTAATCCCTGAGGTGACTCTGCAGGGCTTCTATCATAATCAATGTTACTTGAATCTTTTCTGTCTGCACTATTATTACAAAACCCAAGGAAGTCTAAATCATAGAAGCAACCTAAATATCCAAGGACTTTTGACCCATGAGAAAGCCAGTTTAAGATCTAACCAAGATCCAGCTGATTCATCTTCCTGCCTCACTCCCTGCTTGTGCACTGCTCCTCGTGTTGTGACACAAGAACTACTTGCAGGCATGTGTTGTAAATGCAGTTGCTGGAAAAATCTGAATTTAAAGAAAAAAAAAACTAGCAATGCCTTCCAGCTCCACCTCCTTTTGTTAGCTCAGCTCTGACACAGAGGATGGAACAAGCAGCCCAGAGCTTAAACATCCTAATCTGGCTTTATCATCAGAAAGAATGTACTCAGAACTGCCTCCTTAGTTGCAAAATGCTGTTGGCTTTGCTCTAAAAATGTGTTATCAGTCACATATTTCAAAATACTCTGAAAAATAACTGCAATTCAAATGTACTACCATAGAGAGGTTCTGAATAGTATTTAACCCCCTTCCCCCATAAACTATGGAAGAATAATGTATTCCTACCTGATTTCTTGGTGGAAGCTGTCTTTTGTTGTTTAGTTTTCTCTTCTGCATTGTAAAAGCAGTGTTAAAATTAGAAATTCATACTGTGTTAGCATAGGTGCATATAACAGGAAAAATGTTTCTAAACATATGGTATTTACACACAGTCCACAAAGAAAAAATAAATGCAATGCTTTTAGCAATGCTATTTCATTGTAGCAAGGTAGAAGTGACACATGTACAGTGTAAGTTTTGACTGCATGGCAAGATCATATTCCATTAAAGAATAAATTACTGTGCCTAATGTCTTAGCCCCCAGAAAACTGCCACATACCTGGTAGTGTCTTTCAGGTAGCCACTCAGGCAGAAATCGTGTTTCTAATAATCCATTTAATATAACTTTGAGGACATCACCCTGCTAAGTGCCTAAATTCAACAGTTAGGGGTGTGTATATATATACATATATGTATATTAAAATGCATATGAAAATATACAAACATACATACATACATGCATGCATGCATACATATACATACATACATACATACGTACATACATACATACATATATATGATCCTGAGAACTTCTGCTCAGAGAAAGCCTAGCAACAAATACGTACAGACTTATCCATGTTTGTCTACTCTCTGAAGCACAGAAAAGTATGGAGACACCTCAAGCAGAAAGACATATCCTAGTGCCAGTTTGAAAGCCTGATTATGCCACATGCTGCTGGGCATGCTTACCTAAAACCAGCTGGATATCTGTCACAAAACCTTAGAGAAGCCCTAAGCATCTGCTAATCTCATGAGAAAAGCTGCCTAAATGCACATGCTCTCAAGCTGCCTGTGGCTCAGTTCAGACGATGTGACCCCATGCCAGTGGCAGCCACCAGGCCTTAGCAGCTTCTTTTCCCCTTGAGCAGGCCACCGGATTCAGCTTCAGGCAGAGTACAGGCAGGACTACGCTTTCTGAACGCATAGGGTCTCTTAAATGTCCAATGGCCAGGGCAGCTTTTTTTTCAGGCCTCCACTTGGTGCAGTTTGGTTGATTTAAACTCCCCCCTTCTTGATCATCTCATTACTCTTCTCTTGTTTCCTCTCTTTTCCCTTACCTGAGCTCAAACCTCCCTCCATCTTTGAATATTCACATACCTCATCGTTTCTCTTTTCGAATGCACTTAAAGCACATTCAGCATGTATTTCTCCTTCCTCTCACTGACAGGCTGTTTACAGTCATATGCCTGTGACCCATTACCTTTTCCCCAAGACTTCTGCTGGGCATCAGATTCAAAGTGACACTGGTAGGGTGGAGGTCAGGCTAGGTCGGGTGAAGCCACCCTACTCATCTGAGCACCAGCTCACTAGAAACCCTCCTGGCTATTCTGCCTGCACGTGCACAAAGTAAGCTGCATGGCTCCTGCATAGGAGCTATGTTTCCAGTCTGGCAGCCAAAGATGTTTTTAAATGAGATAATGGATAAGTGACTGGGACCATCTACATGTTAGCAGATGCCCAGTTTGCCTGCTGCTGCATCCGCACACACTCAAAGGGTAAACCAGCTGCTTCTCTGTGGGGTCTACTGCTCTGGAACTCAAGTGTCCAGACTTGGATCTTTAACCCTAATTTGCACTCTGACTAAATATGTGGATAGCAGAGTATTTAGAAAGCAGATTCTTGAGTGGTTTCAACATAAATGACATTTCCTTTGAATTTAGTTGTAACTTACAGAGAACTTCTTTGCGAGGGCAGAGAGCAGACTCAACCTCTGAAGATTTTCCTCTGTGTCCTTTTCTTTTTTAACTTGCCCTCTGAGATTCCCAGAGGTATATAAATATCAAAGAGGCCTAAAAGGACATTTATCATGCCACACTTGACAGAGAAGCAGCCTTGCTACTGCTGCACGGTCCATTTCTCATCCGTAACATGGAAACATACGGCAAAGCAAGAATGCAAGCATGGACATGAAACATAAAACAATTGTGGTTTATTTTTGTTTGTTTGTTTCTGAAAGGGGACTAGTATTAATGGGAGAATATACAGGGAAGGAAAAAATTCCATTGCTATTGATCTCTTCTTTTTTTGGAAATAAAACATAGCCCTGAATTGCTGTTTTCAATTGTCCTCTGTTAGGTGGTGATTTAATTTCTCTTCACTTGTATTAAGTTTAGGGCTTTTTTTTCCCCTTACTCAGCTATTGTTTTTTTCAGTTCCTTATGAGAGCAGTGCATTAAAAACTCTCATCTCCATTTCGTGGCTGTCTGTGAAACTAGAAATATTGTTATAGCACAACCAGCAGTTCGAAGCAGCAGCTTGTTCAGAAAAAGTATTCTCTTTCTGCTCTTAGATGAGCTTTAACATACTACCGGTGTATTTCATTGGTTTAGATTTGGGCTTTAAGTTTTCCATCTATTGACATACAGAGAAAAAAGCTCACTGAATTCAAATGTAGGCCCTGTACCATCCACTGGATTAATGACAAGTAAAGCTCAAAGTATTGGGAGTTTCTATTTCTTTGGATATCATCCAAAAAGTATGCATGCTATTCTGAACCTTAAACAGAATGGTTCTGCTTTTTTTTTAAATTCTGGTTGGAATTGATATCAAGTCCATCATAGGAGTCTTTGAATGTCTGCTCTGTTAAAAATTATGGATGGGACTTCCTTTTCAAAATGAATTCATTTCTGAAGATATTTTAGTTAGCTGATCTTTTGATTATGGTAGAGTGTCTTTTGGACGGGGCGGTGGACTTCCTCTGGAAATAAATTCAATATTCTTTGGCATTTGGCCACCTCTATTCTCCAACCTAACTGAACAGCAGCTATTGATCTGCTGATTCCAGCGGAGAACACCCTGAAGACTGCAACATCTCCTTCCCTGACAGATCTCCAGAAGGTGACTGTATAGCCTTTTCTCTGTGCATTGGTTGTAACCAGAAGGGAATCTGAAGGAACAGATCAGCAAAACTTAAAAGACAACACTCTCTACCAGAAAACATATTCCAAGAGATCAGGAAGCTTCACAAAATCATCTCAGTTCACCAGAACTTCCATATTAAGAAAAGCAGTGAACAAATTCTGATAATGCCAAACAAGGTATTATGGCAACAACAGAAGAAATATTTCAATTTTTCATTTTATAATGACTATCTAATTTCTCATTTACTATTTCTGGTAATTATAGCATGAGGAATTTGTCAAAATAATGAAATATTTTGGAGCCCCCCAAAAACCACAAAGTCCAAGTTCTTTTTTTGTGAATATGTCTGAAAATTTCAGGCTTTGTTCTGATTTTGAATAAGGCCAAAGCTTAAAGTCTTGACATTTTTCATTGCAGAGAATTTCTTTCCTCTGCAGAGCTCTAATTTTGCAGCACTCCAAGCATTAATATTCATTTTTGTTCTGATGTATCTAATTTAAATAGAAAAAAATAAAACTGCAAATAGATCTCTCCATGTTTCAGGCAGCTTCAGAAGAATTACATCAGGAATTAATTCTCTTACTTTACCTGCTCACACACATACACACAAAACCCTCTGTAATTTAAAAATTTCCCTATAGGATCAATATATTTTCTGAAATTCTCTGGCTTCTCACTCACATGATACTTCTTAATCTGATGGCAGGAAGTATAGGAATAATAGTTTAACACTCCTGCAAATCAAGATAAAAGGCTACTGCTTTGCGCAGAATAAGGGTTTTATAACTCAGTCTGCTAACTGAAGAGCACTAGTTGGCACACAGCAGGCAGAAGAACTGTTACCACCCCAGTCATCAACTGAAACTGAAAACAGCCATTGCTCTCCGAAGCAGCCATTAATCACCAGAGAAAAGGTCTTTTACACTAAAGGAAATTTAGCTAGTTTTTTCGTTCTTTCTTACTTTCTTTTTTTCTTTCTTTCTTCAAGCATTTAAATTCCAAGGGCTTTAATCTGGAATATACTATGCTATAGTATAGCTATGCAAGCTCCTCCTCAGTCTGATCTGCTTGCTTTGTGACAGGATGCTCTACTGCTTGCAAATGCCTTGCCATGGAAATTTGTTTATACACTGAGATCTGGCCGGTCACATAGCTAGTATTCATTTCGCTCTGCTCAGGGGGCGAGCGACGGGGTGACTGTGGCTCGGCAGCCGTGATGCTCTGCCAGGTTGCACTGAGCTGGAGCTGGGCAGCTTCCGGACAGCTTCCTCTCCAGGGGTGTGCGTGCCTTGGCAGAAATGAGCTGAAATGCTCCATGAGTTTTTGCAGTCCTTGTAGGCTGCATTCAGCTCACGGCCGATGCTGTCCTTCAGCTGCCTACACCCTGGTGGAGCCCCTTGGAGTGAAAAACCCATCACAGACGGAGATTGGAAAGGCAGGTGGAAGCTGGCAACAACCTTCTCCGTGTCACAGGCTCTTCAGAGCTCAGCTTGGCCACAACCCGAGGGACAGCTGGTGTGGGAGTCTCCAGTCTCACCTTGTCATTTAGGCTTGGGATAAATTCTCTGAGGGACAACAGGGACGAGGCAAGCATAGCCTTTGTGTCTCCGTACAAGATTTTCCGAAAGCAGACCAAAGTCCTCATTAGCAGTTAGTACATAAAAAGTGGTCAATGAGGCAAAAAAAAAAAAAAAAAAAAAGCCAGACCTCTCTATCTTTGAAGATTGGAGTGAGGAACATTGTTGGTTTTTTTTTTTTTCCTTATTGGCTCAGAAACAGCAGCGCAACTTCCCTAATTCAGCTACCCAAGGCGGTAAAATCTGGTAGGAAACTTGAAAATGTCTGTGAAATACCCAGCTTACAAGCAGAATATTCTGCTAGAAAGCATAGAAGAAAAATAATAAATGCATAGGAGAAATTGTTATCCTTCAAAAAATTAATTCTGGAAAAAAAGCATGATGGAAAAAAGGCTGACTTTTCTATTGAAAAAGTAGGCTTTTAAATTAGTTCATCTGATCACTTATTCATGAATACTTCATTTTTATGCAAAGCTTGGTCTTTTGCAAGCAGTAACGTTGTCAGCACAGGTTGATGGGACACTGATATCTGCTTTTCAGCATGCACTGTATCGAGTAAGACCACTCAGAGCTGAGTTTTCAGCCGAGTTTTCCATGAAAATATCCTTTTAGCCTCATTGCTGCACATTAGGACAAACTGACTGTTTTTCTCTTCAGTAAATCATGCAGCAATGGCTAGTGATGAGGCACATGACCCTGGTTTGAAAGGGGTCTAATTTAATTCATTGCAGCCACTAGTAGTTGGATATTACTTACAACTTACGTGAGTGCAGAGTCAAGCCAAGAATTTTTTAGTTACAGAATCACAGAATCACAGAACAGTCAATGTTGGAAGGGACCTCTGGAGATCATCTAGTCCAACCTCCCTGCTCAAGCAGGGTCCTCTAGAACATGTTGCACAGGACTGTGTCCAGGCGTGTTTTGAATACCTCCGGGGAAGGAGACTCCACCACCTCTCTGGGCAACCTGTTCCAATGCTCTGTCACCCTCACAGTGAAGAAGTTTTTTCTCAGGTTCAGATGGAACTGCCTGTGCTTCAGTTTGTGCCCGTTGCCTCCTGTCCTGTCACTGGGCACCACGGAGAAGAGTTTGGCCCCATCCTCTTGACACCTTCCCTTTGGATATTTGTACACATTGATGAGATCGCCTCTCAGTCTTTCCTTCTCCAGGCTGAACAGGCCCAGCTCTCTCCTATGAAGAAAGGCTGAGAGATGCTCCACTCCCCTCGCCATCTTGGTAGCCCTCCACTGGACTCTCTCCAGCAGAGAGAGCTTTTCATCCACCCGGAGGCAGAGCTCCACACATTCTAGTTGCTCCCTCACATAAAGAGCAACTCCATCCCCTCGCCTTCCTGGCCTGTCTTTCCTAAAAAGCACATAGCCATCCATGACAGCATTCCACTCATGTGAGCTATCCCACCATGTCTCTGGAACGGCAATGAGATCACGGCCCTGCGACCACACACAGATCTCTGACTCTTCCTGCTTATTCCCCATGCTGCAAGCATTGGTGTACAGGCATTTCAGAGAGCCCGTCGAGCATGTCAGCTTCCCAGGAGAGGTGCAAGAGGAGCCTCCACAGCCATGTTCCATGCTGCCTCCCCTGGCTGCATGCATCCGCTGGAGGCATCCTGACTTGAGCGGTGTTTTACTGAGTACCCTGCCACTATACCACTCCCCTTCCCCATCTTGCCTAGTTTAAAGCCCTCCGTACCAGGCTGGCCAATCTGTTGGCAAAGACACGCGTGCCCCGCTTGGTAAGGGGGATCCCATCTCTCCCCGTCAGCTGGTGATCTTCAAACAGGGTCCCATGGTCATAGAAACCAAAGCCCTGCTGCCAACACCAGTGGCGCAGCCAGTTATTAACTTGGAAAACTCGTCTACTCCTCCTCCCGTCCTTCTCCCTCACAGGCAAGATTGAGGAGAAAACGACCTGGGCTCCCAGACCCTTGACCACCAGCTCCTGCTCAGCTCTTGGTCTTTTGGGACACAAACAGTAGGCTGGCTGTGTTCAGCCTATACATATACATATGCATATGCATATGCATACGCATACACATACACATACACATAAAACCCTGTGAGGTTATGTCCTCTCCCTTTTGGGGACTGGGATTACTTCATGTAACAACTGGTTGTCCACAGAAAAGGCTATGATGGGGTAATTCCAGATACTTGTCTTTGATTTACAGACACTTCCCAACACTGAAAACTGGGTTTCACTGACAGTTTTTAAGCCATACCTATCAGTGTTAGAAAGACAGTCACAGAAACTGTGAAAAATTGTGAAAGCAGAATCCTGTTATTTAAATTTCACCCTCATTTTTCTTCTCCCAGCTCTGAAAAAGCCAGTGACAAAAAGCAAAATAAACAATGCTTAGCTGAAGAAAAACTCCGAGTTTTACAGACCACACAAATCCCTATTGAATAGAGCCTGGAATAACTGGAAATTAAGTTACAAAACGCACCTGACTTAGCTTGAGAAACAGTTTTTTCATGTTTAACAGCTTGAGAAACAGTTTTTTCATGTTTAACAGGATCATGCTCTGTAAATCAGAAGAACCGATATGTTAGAGGGCTTTTTAATTTTTCAAAGACTCAAAAAAAAAGATTCTCATTATTATTTTAAGAGATGACTTTACATTACGTATTAGCATTTGACTTGAGAATAATTTTTTTTGATATAAATCTTTTTTGAAAAAAAGATGCTTGGTTAAAAGAAAATTTTCTTTCTCAAACTGAAAATAATATCAAAGAAAAATTGTGTTTGATTTTTTTTTAATGTGATTTAAGAAATCGAAAGATTCTATCAGTGTTTTTTAAAGGAAATTTCATATAATTTCATATCAAAGAAAAATTGTGTTTGATTTTTTTTAATGTGATTTAAGAAATCGCAAGATTCTATTCAGTGTTTTTTAAAGAAATTTCATATAATTTCTAAAATCATTAAGAGAGTCTACTACTTATTTTGATTAGTATCACTTATCTTTAATAAGGAAAATCTCTCCTTGATGGTTTATATAGAAAGTGTGGAAGTATTTTATTGCAACAGAAGTGGAGTACTGTTCGGTAAAGAAGAAAAAATGAAAGTTCAGTATATTATATAAAGGAAAAGTAGTTTTCCATATTCCTCTGTCAGTCTGGAGTTACTTGTCTGGAATATGTGCTACTTCTATAAATATGCTGTGAAACAGTAAAAAGATTATAAAATTATATAAATGAATTATAAAATTAAACAGTTATTAAATTGTATTAAAATATAAACTGTATGCAATATTGTGCTACTTAAAAATAGTGAGATATCCACAAAATAACATTATGAGATAGAAAAGCAAGTGGAATTTCAGAAGAAATGTGAAAAAATCGTTTCATTCTGAAATTCTGTTTCATTCATTTATAGCAGCTTTTTCTAATTTGTGTAGCAAGTGAGATCTGCAGAAAACCAAGAGGTAAATCTCTTTATTGTCTGGATCAGAGACCTCACCAGAGAATACCCTTTCTGGTCGCTGTGTCCCTTGATTCTTTCCAGTGGAAACCTGGCCATGGAGATACAGGGGAAAAGACAGGCACTGTCCCAGCAAGGAACTGGAAAATAGTTTCATGCATACTGGGATCTGTGAAACACACCTGGGTTCTGCATTACAGACAGAGTCAGTGAAAATGAGGTTCACAAGTCCAAATTTCCTGTGAGCCAGCTTGTGTTGATGATTCTCATCTTTAGCTGTTAAAACTTTGACAACATAAAAACATATCTCCCTCCTAAAAGCAAAAGTAATAATATTCTTTATCAACTTTTTACTTACTATGTTCATGTTGTTTCTCTATGGTAGCTAGAAGTAAAAAAAGAAAAAGAAAAAGAGCACCTTTTAATATGCTTAGGACTGTAATGCAGGATTTAATGTATTTATTCATGATGTTTGTAGGCAGGTAACACAAGCCTTCAGGGATATCTATACTAAAATGAGCAACAGTTAGCGTATTCTTACTTATACTACCTGCTGCAGACACCTAACCGAAGCAGGTAGTTAAGGAACGTAGGCGCCACTTGATACAAATACCCCTAGGAGGTTCTTCACATCCTTGGTGGGCTGAATGGCCCGCACTAAATCGTGTTTCTTTCAGCTGACTGTACGCCGAACCTAGGGCAACCACAGTGCTAAGTGAGGTGCTCCACCTGAGTAGAATGGAGTGCCCCTAACCACGCAGGGTAAATTCAGACCATGAGTTGTTCAATAGCGGGCAAACCAGACAAACGATTTTAAGCTAAGTGTGGAAGTGATGCTTAAGGCAATCTATATCAGATCTGTAAGAGTCCCTCACAATTTCACCTCCTCTAGTAAGGTTAGTGAGTTTTAGATTGAGGCAGTGACACTCCAAGGACTAGGAAGACGTCTTTGAAAACATAATTAATGCAATTCTGAAACAAATGTACTCAGGACTTCAGTACCTCACCTTTGTGACTTAATGCCATTTCATTTTCCACATTTTTCCAGGCAAATTAGATGAGATAAAACAGAAAATGTAACTTATGCTTTCCATTGACCTTAAGAGAACAAACACTTCTCAGGTAAAGAGAGAGCTCAAGGAGCCATACCCAATACTGTTATTGGTGCTACAAAAAGAAAAGTGTTGCCAGTGCCAGCTGGACTTTTCTTCATTACTTATACAAGGCAGATGTTGTTTTAAAGAGAATCAGTGCTCTGCCACTCGTATATAACAGTCTGCCACGTATGAAAGAGAGTAATTCCCACAGCGAGATGCAGCAATGAGCTGCTTGGTGGGCCCAAAACACAGGCTCTGCTCCCTTGAGCTCCTAGACTGTGATTCACTGAGCTCCTGAGCTCCCTGTCAGGGCAGAAAGTAACTCATGTGCAGCTGGGGCTTTGTTCTATTTGTTTGCCCTGAAGTGAAAAACCACATGGTTACACTGTTAAGAATTCTTGGATTTCCTTAAACCCTCAGAGTAATACTTAAAAAAATCCCAAGAGTGGTGAGATTGTTCCCAAATGGAAATGCTCGTCTGTCTTCCTTGCACAGCTGTCATTCTGTAATCTAACTGCTACCTGTCTACTCATTCACTCCCATTTTACAACCAGTCTCTACTTAATCCACGTTGTTGCATTTAAAGAGATAGTGATTGGAGATGGTGTGTAGAACAGAACAGAAATAAGAGAGCATTTGGGGGCGGGGGAGGGTAACAGAGACTAAAGATACAAACTTTATACTTGCTCCCAAGTGAGGAACTAGGGTAACAGAGACTAAAGATACAAACTAAATGCATGTACTTGCTCCCAAGTGAGGAACCGGAGATAAGAAACAGCAGAACAACATGGATCCTATGACAAAGGCACATTTGCTATCTTTATGTGTATAAGTAAACCTTCTTGTAAGTTTAGACTCAACTATTTTGCCTCAAAACCCCCCCAACACAAAAAGTATGTCCCTAAACAACATAAGCTTAGATAAATTTTATTATAATTAAAGACTTTCCATGAAATATATCTGAAAATTGGAAAATAAATTTACTTTATGTTATGCCAAGTAAGATAGAGACACAGTAAGACAGAGAGGCTGATCCAGCTATGAATTTCAATTTACAAAAGGAAATTCATGACAAGTATAACTTCAGAAACGTGTATGATGACTGATATAACTATCAAAGAACACCATGTTGGGTTACAATACCTTCAAAAAATCTCTAATAATGATCAGAGGTATGTAATGTATGAATAAGGACAGAATTCATTTACAGACTCTTTACTGACATGACTTAATCAATTTTATAAATCGGCTTTCATTATAGCACCCTTTTCCCACATCTCCAATTTGTTTTAAAACACTAAAGCCAAAACAAAAGGTGTGAGGCCAGTGTACTCACTTCATTTTTTCTGCTGATGAATATAAGTCGTGGAGGGTGCTTAAGATTCCCCTGAATTCATGCAGAAAGCAATAAGAACTCAGCCCAGGTCTGGTTGCTCAAGTTTAGGAAGCTAACTGTGTTGCCCTTGTCCACATTTTCCACAGAGTTAATAACTGGCCAAATCTATATAATGCCAGTATCCAGCCAGAAATTGAGTGCTGAGGTTCTTGATATGAAACTAAACATCTGGCCTTCTTTTTTCTAGCATAACATAGCAAATATGGATATAAGCCAACCAGAGACTTTTCTACTGTGCATTTTCACACACACACACACAGAAAAAGACTTTCTAGAATTAAAAGTTTTCACAGGATGTGTTAGGTATACCGAAATGTGTCCATATCTTATTGGAAAACAATTGAAGTGAACTTTTGAGGGGGTCTGTTGGCCATAAATATAAGCATTTATGCCAGACCTACTATGATTTTAGTCAGTTCAACATTAAGTCATATCTTTCTGATGCATCATATTATCTTATCAAAGATGCAACTAAATGACTTATGCAACCAACAGAAACCCCAAAAATGAAAAACAAGAACCTTAGTCTGATTTTTACAGTATTAGAATAATCCATAATACAGATATTCTGATTTTTAGCCTACTCTTAGTGAAAAAAGGAAGATAAAGGATAAATGTCAATGACCTAGTCAGACTTTCTAGAATCTAATTATTATATATTAAACAGTATATAGCCTAAAGGATAAGAGATGAAAGGCTATGTTCTACTGTTCTCATTCACTCTGTCTTGCACTGAAAGCAAAGTAATTCTATTCAGACACTATCTTTAAATAATATTTCTTTGTATAGTGTTTAGTTAAGTTGTGGAACCCCATGCTGCAAGGATGCATGGATGCTGAAAAGTTTCATCATTTCAGAAAATGAGTAGATAAATTAGAGGAAAATCTGCAAAGAGCTATAACTGTTTCTGGCTTAGGAAGTCCCTGAGCTGAGATCACAGGAGGCTACAAGGCTCTGCTACGTGCTTGTTTTACTGCTGTACTCTTCCCTAGGCATTTATTATTTTGACCAGTGATGGAGATAGGATGTTGGATTAGATGAATCCTTGGTCTCACTTTAAACAGCCATTTTGATATTATTAGTTAGAGGGAATACCTACTAGGTAAATAACTGTGCCTTTTTTTTTTTTTTTTTGGTGGTAATGTTAGAAAAATCCTAAGTCCTAAGGAAGTGTTTTATCTTCATTTGTTTAACACTTAAGCCATATTAGAGAAGGAGAAAGATCAGATTTGGATCTAATAAAAGCAGATGGAACTTTGGTGAAATAATTGAAGCTACGTAAGACCTGGATGTGATGAATGGAAATTATCTAGTTCTATCCCCAGATAAAATGTTTTTTAAAATTATTTTTTGTTATTGTCAATTAATCTTGGTAATCAGGCTTGATAGTTCTCTTGCTATTTTTCACATTCACTTCAAAATTTGTTTGACTCTTGCTGCTATTCTGAATGCCAGAAGGGTATTAATTACATGCAGCACATTTTTGTAAATTAGCTTCAGATATGTGTTCGGAAAAGAAACCCTCCGGTTTATTGAAACATAAAATGGTAAGACTAAAAGCAGAACATGCTTTTTTTGTGATAACATGTCTATATTCCATCTGGATAA